GGTGGGAGAGTAAGAACGGCAAGTAGGAGGCCACGTGCCGGGACGGCACATTCGGTTAGGGGGGAGGTATCAGACAAAATTACATGTCAGTCTCTTAGTGACATACAGTCGTTGCGTTCTTTAGAGAATCCGTTTTGCTTGCATTGCTACGGTCGTACGAGGCTGCATGGCAGCGACGCCTAGCGGCACGACAATCGTCATGCATGAGGCCCGCGGCAAATACCAAGAATAAGCAGATGGCGGTGCGCATGCTGCGGGCAGTATTTCAGATTACTCAAAGTAAGGGCTATGACCACTAGTCAGACTCTGTGAACACTCCTGCCCAAGCGTAATCTGGTCAGCACATGAGCACTGGTGTATGGCAGCATTCCGTATGCAGTAGATATAGACAGCCAAGCTGTCCAAACGTTGTCTTTTGAGACAAGGGGATGAGTTAAGGAGTGAAGGAAACGAGTGAGCAGGCATACTGTTATGGAAGAACAAGAAGCCGCAGATGGAATCCATGATGTGAAAGCTGCAACACGCAGGTTTACTTATGATGGATAATGAAAGGAACCAAAAGTTGACAAAAGCTGTCCTTATGTAGAAATCGGACCGTGCTTGATTGGACTCTGCAGAACAACAAACCAGAGTCAATGAACGACATTCAGAGGAAGCGAAAGCAGCACCAAAAACCAAGCAAAACTCAACACACACACGCATTAATGGGCGGCCTTCCTGCCTTGACGAAGGCTTCTTGCCGCCCGCACAACAACGGCACACATTTGAGCGCATAGTGAAGTGCATGACGCCTTGCAGGAGCTTGCAACTCACCTCTACGTGTGCTTCTTCAAGTACCCGTCTATCCCGTTCAGCGAGTGCGTAATCAAATGCGTCCTGCATCACCGGCTTGGGCTGCAAACAAGGATGTCGTTTCAGAATCTTCTCAGACGAGTCTGCCGCAGTATGGGGGTAAGCGTGATCTTATCCAACTAAATGGGGCAGCTGTTTCAGACTTCAGATTGGCCCAATCAAAGCTTAGTTAAATTGAGTGTGCAAAATCAACAGCAATCATACACAGGATTGCTTGCAGGCCCCTCTTTCACTTGGTGGCACATTGAGCACGATCGATGTACAACCACGTCACACTCTCAGTGTATTCTCTGCAATGCCCCACACCAGACTCCATCAGAGCAGTCTCTGTCAGATCAAGGAAGCATCTGGATGGCAGCCGCTCTGCAGAGTGCCATTTCTTCCCCTTCTAGCCGCTGATATCTGACATACGCAAAGTCTGTGGCATCAAGTGCTCCCGTCCTCCTCTTGTCGACTTCAATCTCCTTTCACATGACTCTTACCCCAAAAAGTGTACAACAAGCAACTTCTACAAGCTGCGTAATCCGGCCAGCATCCAGGATGCTCACCTTTCCATACACTGTCTTGTGAAGAAACGACGGGATGGCCCCCATAAGCGCCAGCATGGTGCCCATGATAATAAAGGGTGGCAGCGACTCATAAGGCATGGTTCCCGAGCTCAAGCAAACCGCCGACGAATGCTAGATCCTGCACTGAGCGCGGATCCTGGGCGAGCAACGCTCCGGCGAGCTAAGCCTATTTCGAATCCTATGCAGCACGCCCGTCAAGGACGCCCTTTTAGAGCTTTGTCCAGCCACGATGGCCTTGCTCATTGACATGAAGCCCAGGGTCTGCTCTGGCCCTCTCCGGGTCTCAGCTTTGTGGGCCTCGGGTTACATCTTAAACCCTCATAAGTTGCAGATAGGAGAAATGGTACTTGCCAGCGCGCATAGGTATAACTAAGTAGTACAAGGTTTGAGAAGAAGCCGCTTTCTATTGCCCAGTATGTCGATGGTTAGTGCTAACCATGACCAGCTCTTCCTTCCAAGCAGAGATCCGGCCAGACAAGACACCGTTGACAGACCCTGCACAGTTCTTTCACCTGAAGTTCATTCACTGCACAGCAGCTCTCTTTTAAAGCCCTTTGCTGTGGGCATCCATCTAAGGGCTAGCAAAATGGGCGACTCTCAGGTGAGTAAGCTCTTGGCTTTCATCGATGAAGAAGCGAGGCACCAATTCAGCGCAGTGCTCTGAGAATCGAAGCATATGAAGCTTTGAAGGAAGTCAATGTATGCGCTGCTCAAAGCTAGAGAGTTTCTTAATCCTGTGTAATCACATGTAAGAAGCATTTAATCACATGTAAAAAGCATCTAGAGACTTGCCATCATTTCGAGGAAGGTCAATTGCATCAGCTGCAAACAATTGATTGCCAAGCCAAGTCCAACTGGTAATTTCAAGCACAAACACTCACATACAGAAGCCAATGCTTCAAGCTCCAACTAAGTTGCAGTTGCCTAGTAGAATTTGATGTTGTCAACCTGCAGGAGACCTTGCTCGAGTTTCGCGCCGGGAAAATGAAGATGGAAGGATCCACAGTGAGGCCTGATACAAGAAAGGGGGTGGTGCGAATCACAAGGGTATGTTGGGCGCATGCAGGGAATTGTGTTTACACCTGATAATGCTCCTCTGACTTTCTTTGCAAGGTTAATGTGATCCTCAAAGTCCGTTTCTCCAAGTTCATTCCTCCTCAAATGTGCGAATACTTCTTACCACCACACTTATCTTCCAGCCTTCAGCAAGTCAAGTCAGATATGATTCCATTCTGCAGTTCTGGGATGGCAGCTCATTATGTCACACCAAGGACTGTGCATTCCCCATCTTGACACGCTGAGCAGCTGGGTACAGGACTTATTCTCTTTGTCTTAGCTCGTCTTCAAGAAAGGCACTCTGTTGACAGATGTTGCTGATGAACCAGGAACTCTACGAAATCTTGAAATAGTTAAGGGGCTGGAAATTTCATGACCTGAAGGCCGGTCCTCGCAACAGCCTCACAATCCTGATATTGAAGCAAGGCGCCCTTGCTGACAAATTTGCAGATTGGCTGGTCAGTCTACTGATATCATATTCCTGAATGGATGCAGAGCGACGATGGCCTTCGGCATGTGAGCTGGGCCGACAGGACAAGTAATGTCATTGAAGAGGTACAGGAAGACCGGCAGCTTTGGTCCCCCCTCCATTGGAATTCTGAGCACTCAGTTCTGATGTCTGGACACTAATCCTTTGAAGCACCACTTTCTTTAGGACGACTTCTGAGATTTAGTCTGTTCAAGGATAGGGCTTGGCAGAAAAGGCGCCTTTTAAGCAAGGTCTTGAAGATTGTTCTTCATTTTGAATGATAAGATGCTTGGAAGCATTCTTTCGCAGCATAGGAAGCAGCGAGTTTGAAGAGAGGGGTAAACGCAGTGTTCACAATGGCCCGTGCGGCGCAGCCCACTCAACAAGCCTTCGATCCATCATTTTGCAATGACTATCTAAGCAGATTTTACTTACAGACCATGTTAAAACCAGTTTAAGAATGACGACTTGGCCAAGCTTGTCGGCAGAGAATTATAGACGATATGGAAGTCCAGTGTGAATTTTGGAAGTTCAAAAATGGACCCATGCTATGGTTTATGTCTGTACAACCTTGCCAGTGTGCTTCTGTGCAGGATCTGATTGTGTTCCCAGAGGAGTCTGTGTTTGAGAAGGTGCCGCAAAGCTCAGGCCGAGTCTTCATCCTCAAGTTCAAGCACGACAACAGGAAGCTCATCTTCTGGATGCAGGTTTGGCTCTACCCCCTCTCATAACAGCTGTTGCATCTGACTGATCTATCATTGAGTCACGCCACACTTGCTTTTGGTCCTGCAAGATCTTCGTGCTTTTAAGGAGGCTGGATTGAAAGCAAAGGTGCATCAATAGAGTCAGCTGTCTCCAAGTTCTGAACATTTTGGGAAGGCCTGTTCAGGGGCAGTATTGAAAACCTGAGACGATGCGTGACTGTTAGCCCCAATGGTGATCCTCAGGAGCCAAAGGCAGACAAGGACGATCAGATCGTGGCAGACGTGAACCGTATCTTGAACCACGCCGAAGGTGAGATACTTGCTGCCTTTGATTCCCGCCGGAAGTGAGATACTTGCTGCAAAATACCTGGTCCAACCCGAAATCAGCTTAGAAAACGGTTCCGCACAAGGGTGGATAGCACGAAATGGGCTTTCTTTCTTCGACGCCAAAGCTCTGAGCTAGACTCCCTTGAGGGTTCGATTGGATTCTGGCTAGCTATTGGTTGCAAGCCCTCCTCGCCGGAACTGGAAATAGTGAACACCTTTAACATTGACGAGCGGTCCTTGCTCTCCATGTAGATGACTCAGATGCAGAAGTGAGTGCCCCAGGACAATTTGAGGAGCTTTCAGGAGCCTTTCGAGCATCCGAGGAGCTAGGGGCGGAGGTATCAAGCGGAGTGTAAGTGCTCTCTGATCGCCAGAACCTCTGCAAATTTCACACCCTTCATATTTTAGAATGTGAAGCTCGAAAGTTCTTGACGACAGGTGTGCAAGTTACAGGTCTTTCCTTTAGCTACGATTGACAGAAACATACAAAAAGTTGAAAGGAGAGGATCTTCGCAGACATGTAACTTTTCTCCTTTGCCAAAAATCTGTCGAGGGTTGACATCTGCGATTGTGATTGACCCTCCCATCAAACAGCATCAAACAGCCTTTGAAATGAAGGTGAACGAATCAGCAGCTGCAAATGACAACGCCTCATCTCTTTCCGTTCAAAGTGGTTAAAGTATTTTTGTGGTCAGACGCCTTTGAACGACATCAAAGATCTCGACTCTACTTTTCTCGCCTCCAGCGGGTCGAGCGGCGTCGAAGCCTCCGGTACTGGCCGCCCCGTGTCGCCAGCTGGCGCCCCGGGAGAGGGCATTCACACCGGGGGGGCGGTGAAGCTTTCCGATCTGCAGAGCATCCTCAGCGGTCTGGGCAGCCTGCCAGTGCCGCCAGGGGCCCGCCACGAACGAGATACGGGTGAGCAGCGTGAATAATCTCGATTAATTTTGGCTGAATCCTGGCAGTGGAGAGTTCGTGGGATCTAGCGACGCGCTTTATAGGTTTGGTTGAGACAAGGAGAAGCCTTGGAGACCAGGGGTTTTCGCTTCAAGGGCTGCTCACTGTCTGTTTTGATAAGAAGTACTGGGTAAAGGCTGGAAGTCAATGGCTGCCAGCTCGATGTGTATGTACCCGCAGTATCAAACCTCAAGTTTCCCGGCAAAAGTTGCCCCAAAACCCCGACACTAAAGGAAGAGGATGTTTTCGCGACTGCTTAGAGCACTGAATCTGGAATTCATAAATTGCGTTTCATAATCACTTAGAACCCTCAAAACGGATCTCGAATAAGCTTATTATCATCTGAAGCTGACTTGGCCGTTATATCTCCGAAGGGCCCACCCTTTTAGACGTCCTGCGGCCAGAGCGCATCCTCCCCCTGCTGAACAACCCCACGATCCAGGAGCGCCTGGCACCTCACTTACCAGAGGTGAGAACCAAAGCCTTCGCCGCTTCAGACTCTTTCAGAAAGGACGGCACCTGGGCGAACGGCATCTGGTTTCCGTTTTGTGCACTGCTCAAGCAATGCGTCGTTGTTGTGAGTGTGGGGCAACAATTTGCTCCTGCTTTGGTCCTGCACTTCAAGGTCAGTTGTTTTCCAGAGGTGGGGAGGAGGTCCTTGTATGTTGTCAAATCGCTGAGAGTTGGATGGCGGCTTGGTTAAACTTGCGATTGCGCTGCTCGAGCACTCGTCGTTATTCTGTGGGCACCGCAGCTCCTCCTTTGGTCCTACACTTTGGATATTTCAATCTCGGCCGTTGTGGGCGGGTACACGTTTTCCGACGTTTCTGCGGTTGCTTGTTGCTTGCTTCCAATGGTCGGACTCTGATGACATCCGTCGTGATGTCTTCGTTGTTGGCACTCGCGCATTTCTGCTACCAATGCCCCCCCGTCATCTCTGGCGTCCACTTCACTTGATCTCTGTTTTCCATGTTTTCAGACCACCCAAATGAAGGAAAAAGAAAAGGGGAAAAACATGTTCGAATCACTTCCTTGCAGAGCTTGCGGACGCCTCAAGAGATGCGCGAGCTCGTCCAGAGTCCCCAGTTTCAGCAGCAAGTCGAGACCTTCAGTTCGGTGCGCTTCTTCCCGACTTTCTCCCTTCCGAATCCCGTTCTTCCGGCTTTCTTCCGTTAGAAAGCCCTCCTCATTGCTGAGGCGTCCTTTTTCCTGAACAAACCTCTTCGGGCGGGAAGGTGTCTAGATCTGGTTAGCAGTCAAGCCAGGGCCGTTGTAGTCCTCTCATTACCGTTTCTGATGGTCTCCCCCTCCCTTTCGTGTCTCACAAAGATCCCGACCTAAGACCTAGAACTCGAGATGGGCACGAGCTGCGTTTTGATACCGCTCGCAACTACTTTAAGCTGTGCATAAGAACGAGGGTTGACGAGCAGATCAGTCGGACGTAATGGTTTGGCATGCAATCTGGGCTCTTCCTGCTTCGCCTGCCTGCAGCAAAAAGAGCGAAGCAGATGGAAGGATGGTGCGACAATACTCATAGTGACTTCCCGGTTCGTAGTGCCTGCGACGCGAGCTTATTGGTGTCCCCTTTCGCCATTTACAGGCCCTCCAAAGCGGTCAGATGGACCTGTCGCAGTTCGGAATAGACCCCTCCAAATGTGAGCCACCTGCCTGTTTGTAATCTGCAATCTGGGGTTGGAGCCCCAGATTTGCGATGCAGTCGGGCTGATTCTAAATCTCTGCGGTGCCTCCCTTACACCGTCCCGCTCTCAATAGACCGCCACAGAGGCCCTCGAAAGAGTCGACTCAGTTCTCAGTCATGCCTCTTTTCTAAGAGCAAGGATGTAGACCCAAAAACCTCGGCAGCCTTTCGTGCAGACGATGCCCGTCCTGTTTGAGCGATGTGACTGTAGAGCAATCTGGTCCACGCCTTTACACTTGCGACCTGTCGACGTTGATGTTTCTGCAGATGGCTACAGCGTCACGGCGTTCCTGCAAGCAATTGAAGACCAGGCAAAAGACGTGCAAAGCAAAGAGGCAGGGACGTCGAGTAGTGGCACTGCCAAGGCGGGGGACGAGTCGGAATCCAGTCGGAGGGATAAAGATAAGAAACCCGACAAGATGGACGAGAGTTGACTCTGCTGATAAGGTTCAGTTCAATTCCAGCAATTTCCAGCCCCTTGAGGCTCTTCAACTTGCTTCGGCATGGCGGCCCCTGTTGAATTCAAGCTGACCTGGTTTATATGAACCCGCATCCAGCTACAAGCTGTTGCACTTTTATCACGGTTGCTCCAATCCGAATGCGCCGTGCTCGTAGTCCCCATTGCCGGCCTTCAACACCGATAGCTGACAGCGCGTATATGCATTTGACGGCAGCGCTCTGGTCAAGGAAATGTCAATGCATGATCGTAGGCCGTGGCTCATGCACCGTTGTCGTCGATTCAACCAAGCAGAGGCAATCGACCATCTGAGTCTTTCTCTTACGGACCCTCGTTGAGTTTCGACAAGCGATAGTTCCACAGGTACGTTGTATTGCACATTTTATCTGAGCAGAGATTGTTTTTAGCCTGGCCGGCCGGACTCGAAAAAAAGACGTACAATCATCATGTGCAGAAAGGTAAATGGAAGATGACTAATTATCGCTGACCGACTTATTATTTATTGCTGACCGAGCTGCCCGGGCCGGCCATGGGCCCGCGCGCCATTGCTGGCAAGTCAATTGAATCTGACTGGCCCTCAGCTGGGCTGCGCTTTCATACTGACAACCCTATATAGAGACCGCATTCGCGGTCGTAATGATTACTGCCGACGTGCATGATAACTTGGGTACCAGCCCCTTAATTGGGTGGTAAGTAAAACGCAAGGCCCGTCTAGAAAGGAAGCTCGCTCGATTTCGGCAAGCAGAGTGCAAAGGCAAACGACGCACTATATGCCGTTGAATGCATCGATCGAAATTAAGGATTTAGGCGGTTGAGTGCCTGCTTGGAACGGCCGCAATAGGGGAGTACGTCTTGCAATTTCAACGAGATTCGGCAAGTAACCAACCAACTAATATCTACACAGTCCCAGGGCTTGCGTGTGACAGCAGTACAAAGTTCGTACACAAGTCAGGTTCTGACTAATCTTGACGTCGCCAGTCAAGGCTGGCTTGAGGACAAGATTTCTAAGCACTCGTTTTTGGAAGATGCCATCTGACCGTATCATCAACTTTCGACAGCCGATCTGTACAAAGAGAAACTCAATCAGACTCTGTTTTAAGCTAGCTTCTTTTCTCATTCTTACTATTGAAAACCTGCTCGTTGCACAGCTAAAATCTGGCGGCTCAATGCATCGTAGAGGACGGACTTTGTCCGTCCGCCGCAAAGCACGTCACCCGACTCGGCACGTCCGCCAGAACCCTCCACTCCGCTCCGGATGCTTTCTCCGCAAACAGAACCTTCCCCGTCTCCGTCCCAATCAGCACACCCTCCTTCACAAAGTACGGCACCGGAGTCTGATCCCCTTTCTCGTTCGCCAGCTCCCCTCGAAATACTTTGTCGGTAATCTCTTCCCAAATCTTCCCCCCGTCTGCGGTGTGGTACAAATCCACACCATGGAACGGGGGATCATCCGCCGCCGCAACGATGATCTCTCCCCGCCGGAACGGGTTGAATGCAATTCCGGTTAAGTACCACTGCTTGGAAAGCGTCTCGACGCGGCGCCAATTTTGGCCGCAATCCTCGCTCGCCCACAAACCCCCGGGGATCTTACTCAGCGCTTCCAGCGGCGGGCCCCCCCCGCAAACCGCCCACCAATGATTCGGCTCAAACGGGTCCGCCCGGCAGCGGTGCACGTCCGGGCACATTTGCCCCCACCCTAGTTCCTTCCAGCTGGCCCCTCTATCCTCTGAGACGGCGATCCCCCCGACTTCCACCCCCGCAATCACGTACTCTTTCCCACCCCCCTTTGAGAACTCGATGCTCAAAGTGTGGGGTTCGTGGGGGGGACCGGGAAAGGTCCACTTGTCTCGGGTGGAAAGCGACTTGAACGCACCCCCATTCCAAGACTCCCCAAAATCGTCGCTGAACAACACATCAGCCGGCTCGTTACCCACGAAAAACCTCGGGCTGCCCCCGCCGGAAGCTGGCGCGATGTTGCAAGTGCGCGCGTCGCCCTTCCAGATCTGAATCGCATCGAGATCACATTAGTTCATAGTAAGCTTAGTGTAATAGTGAAGGGAACGGGTGGGGTTAGTTAGGGGGTTAAGGGGGGTATGGTTCCGGAGGGCGTGAGCCTTTGGGTTGGACGTCAATTGAATCTGAAAAGCTCGCAACTCAACAATGGGCTTTCTAGTCAATGGATCGAAAGAATCACCTGTATCGCGGGTTTCTGCGGCGCCGACAGGTCCAAATGCCACAGCCCCCCCTCGTCTTGCTGCTCTTCTTTCTTGACCCCGTAGTGCTTCTCGTGGATTGGCCCAAAGACGGGGCACGCGGCGAGCAAGTGCTGCTCGCGTGCAGCCACGTGGGTGACGAACTGTTTCAGGAGTCCCAGGGGGGCCACGTGTCCGTCTGGCAAGCTCAGGGAGTGGACCCCCCTGCCGGTGCCCACAAAGACTCTTGAGCTGGCCATGGAAGCTGAGTAGAAAAACAAAGGAAGAAAATACAATCTGCTGTGCCAATCAGCTCCGTCTTTTGACTTTGAGACGTGCAAGAAATCCTCGTCAAAGCAACCAGCAGCGATACCCGGGCTTCCCAGGAGAACCTTTGTAACGGCAGCCTGATTTTTCAGAAAGTTCACAAACAGCCAGAAGCGCGCGTTCAATTGAGAACTCAAGCGTCGTGCGTGAATGTAACCTTTGCGACGAGCGAACCCAGTGTGGTCAACCCAGTGTGGTCATCAGCTTTTCAGATGACTAAGTGATACTGCATGCAATCGGGGTGCCAGATTGCTGTTGGGTATCTTATGCTGAAGCTAGCGTCTGCATGCGTTCCCGTAGAAGTCGCTCACGTCTCTGCATACCGCGCCAGATAAACCAGCGTCTCCAAGTCTACCTTCAGGAACGGTTGGACTTCATCAGCTCGATCATTGCTTTTCGGAAGCAGAAATGTCTTCAGCATCAATGTCAGTGACAGTCAGAGCTACTACGTGCCATAGGCTCACAGCTAGATTATATTAGGCAGAACTGTCGCATGCATCTTGGGAGGGTCATCCCCCTATAGAAACGTTTCTAGGGAAGTTGCATGTGAATGGGCTTGAGCTAAGCTCTGGATCCGACAGCATCCAGCTCAAGCTCATGATTGCTTTGGCTACCTGCAGTGTGCACCCTCAAGATGCATGCATAATGCACAACTCCGAGTACAACCTGGCAGGCCTGCATGCAGGCTGGGGCGCTATTACGCTAAAATCCCAAACGCGGCTGTCGATTGGGCACGCTACCACATGCTCCACGTGGCCATGATCTCCGACTTTCTCGTGCGCAAAGTTGGGAAGGCGGCCGCGGAGCCCGCCGGAGCCCGCCCGCCGCTCGCCAGGCGAATTGCGCGATCCGCCGTCGTCCAGGTCGTCCCTTTGCCAGATCTACAGATTGACTGATATGATGGAGTCTCGTACCAGAGTCCATGTTACGAACCTCCACATAGAAGAGGGACTCACCTTCTGGCTGAAGCACAGCTGAGCGCTCAATGGCTTCTATTCAGTATGATAACTTACGCGAAGCGCTAGCGTGAAGGACAGAAACGCAATATACCTTGTCCAATGTCAAGTACGGCAGATGGTTACGCAACCTTTTAGGGACTTGGAGATTGCTTCATGCAGATAACTAAGTTACAAGTCAGCCAAGACTCACTTGCGCTGGATCACGAACTAGTTGAAAGCGTAGACTATGGGTTCGAAACGAGCTGGCGAACAGCAGTTAAAAGGATTAGAGTACCTGACATCAGACAATATTCAAGACATTGCGAAGTCTGTGATTGATTCTGTGAAAGGGGAACAAGCGCGTACAACAAGACTGCGCACGACATGTACTACAATATCCGAGATTGAGTACAGGAGTAGCACAGAAATGGAGCTGGCTGTGGATACGAACAAGTTGACTCACAAAAGTTGCTTGAACGGCCTGATTGTTAAGCGCTTCTTCCAGCGTCACGGGTTCCAAGCTGTCGGATAGCATACTGTTGGCGCGGGGCGACTCTTCGTCATCCCTTATACGAAGCACCCTGGAAAACGTGTGCTACTCTTAGCTCCCTTTTCTAGCCGTCAGCTTGCAACTGAAATGAGCTCATCGCGCCATTTGCACTTAGATGACTGTTGGGAATCAAAAGAAAGGGGAAGAAGTTAGCTCAGCTTTGACTATGAAGCTTGCAGTGTACGTCGTTACGATGAGAACTCTGATCAACGGCGCGGCGCGCCCGCTGTATCGACATCGAAACACATGCAATTCCAGCTTGCCATTTTTGTCATGTGTCTCCTTCCGCCTCAAGTGCAGGGAGTTCCAAACCTCTCCGGATGCCAATCTGCAGGGCCACCAGGTGCGCAATCACCCAAACTTTGCGCTTGGTCTCGTATCTGGCTGCAGCTCTGTTACGGAAAGTCCCCATTGAGGAATGAGTACTCTTTTTGGCTCGATCCTGGTTTCAAGTTGGGACTCAGGAAGTTGGCATGGGTAATTTTTGTGGCGCAAGTCTTGAGCAGGGGCATTATTCAACCTCAGTCGTCTTTCCAGGACTCCGAGGCTCAGCGGGACTCAGTGGGGAGAAAATGAATCCAACGGCACATCTATTTGTAAGAGTTGAGCGCCTCGCCTCGACTGATTCACTGGTGATTGCATTGTCTGGCTCTTCGCTCAGGACTTGAAAGTCGAAACTTACCAGATTGAACCTGGTCTGATAATACAGACTTCTCTCAATATCACGCTGTAACGTCCGTGCAAATGTTCAAGCTGGCCCCTTGGACCGAGCTTCACAATAGACCATTCTCGAAGCCCACCGTTGAGAGTCGACGAGTAACGATATCGATCAGCATCGGCTTTCGGTAGTTCGGTAGCTAACGCAACCGTCAAAATGGATTGCAACGGCTTTTGAAGTTCGACTTTTTTTCGCCAAGCTTCAGTAAACGGCGTTTGTTTCGACGAAACTTTGGAAGCAGTTCAGAGGCCGAGGGTGAGGAGGGCTCAACGCTGGCGAAATGCTTCCCGTCAGAGTCCTCGGCTTCTGCTCCTCTTGAACGTGGATGCAATGGGCGGCCTTCTGCTCAGTCCGATCCATGACCTTTTGAAAAGTGTTCGATCAATTCGTCGACACCAAACGACCTCAAAAACTGACTGCCCGTCACCACACGCACCCGCACCCGCACATGCCGCAGACCCTCGCGTGTATGAATCTGCATTGAACGAGCAGCCTCGTCGGGCATGAGTGACCTGCTTCAGACAGATCTGTCAACGAAAGTGAAGTGGCGGACGACGTGGCAGACCGCATACGCGCGGGTTACTAGGGCGCATTCGGATGCCTTACTATCAGCATACGTTATGTGCAAGCCACGCCCTCGGCTTAGATAGATTGGTTGGGAATCCGCAAGCGAGTTAAGAACATCCCTTTTTGCGAGACCGGACATGAGGCCGAAATGTGGCCATTCGGAGGCCCATGCAAAAGTGCTTGACTTCCCGTTGAGTCACAATGTTGTGGCTTGCAGGGCGGAAGACCATGATTGCCCAAGGTAGAACGGACGTCAACTCTGCGCGCGCTTACTGCGTCGCAATGTTCGAAAGTTCAAGATTACATTTAACGAATCTGCGCAAATTTCAAATGAGATTGTTGAACAGGAACATGACGTTTACATAACAGCATTACGGCCGCTAAGTACAGCAGTACAGCATACATAATCTGCTACTCCGCACATGGTCACGCTGTGCTCAACGAACCCTAGACATGATTTTTTTCTCATGGACAGAACAGACAATGTGAACATTAATGCATGGACGCCAGGCCCGCAGTAACTACCAGACATCCAAGAAAAGTTATGCCTACACTCTAACACGCGACTTTGCAATTTGAGCGCAGCACTAAATCCGTGATTGCAAAGAGCAACAAGTCGTTTGACAAGGAAGGCCTGACTGCACTAATGCGCAGCAAGAACTGTCCATTATTTGAAAACTTTGATTCACACACTACAATCCTCAGTTTTGCGCGCCTATCTTTTTTATATATGGAAACCTATTGAAGCACGACTGCATAAAATGTAGCGTCTAGAGTACGAGGACCTTTAAGAAACGGAGCATCTATGTGGCAGACTCACGCAATGACCTACCAATACCAAAATAGCGAAGCCTTTGCGGGTCTGGTATCAGGCCAAGCTATCGAAGCCTGGCTAATAAATGCCACGTTTATGTCATCTGCAGAAACATCAGCCCTCGCCTACCTGACACATTCCAAACACCCCATCGTCTTTCCAATCCCCCAACCTTTGTGAACCAACCCCTGCCACGTGTACACCATTGCCTCCTACAAGACTGATCCAAGCAGGATAGAGCGAACAGCCTAAGACGACTTCGATGAGATGGCCTCTTTTGTGTCGGACTTCACGGTCTTCTCGACCTTGTCGATGGGGACTATGGGGAAGAGCTCGAACAAGGGCTTCACAACCGGGTAGTTGGCATCCTTGATGGTGCCCACAACGTCGTTGTACATCTCCGCACCGAATTTGGCCACAGGAAACGCGAGCTCAACGGCCTGCAAAGTTGAAAACTCCCTTCTTAGCTCGAACCTGTTTGCCCAATGACCGTTGACCAAATGAGAATAAAATTGGTCATCGTCCAGATCAAAGGACCCCGACTCCGCACTGAAAGTGGCCAAGGGAGGAACAATGCTTGATTCAGAGGATAATACTCGACTGATGCAGAAGAGCGGCGAGATTGAACATGCGGCAGAGCACACTAGCTCTACAGTCTGTAGTTACACACAAAATGGATGTCATTGCACTCTAAAGTGGACTCTACCTCGTGTCTGCATGCAGAAGCTTTCAAAACCCTCCAAGACCGTGGACCAGTTCATCCCTCGCGTACCAAATCACCACTCAAATAAGCAGATCAACTTGCCTTGTTCTCCATTCTTATCAGGCGCCAGACATCGCTCCAATACTACCCTGAATACAACAAGGCCCTCACATCACTGCAATCTTCCTACCTACTTCACCTTCAGAAAACTATTCCAAAACTCGTCCAAAATTCGACCTGTACGAACCCAGGGAACTCACATGCGGGCTACGGAAGCCGCTAAGTCGTCTACCGCTGGCAGCAGCAGATTCCTAATGACGTCAGACAGGACACCGTTCCAAGACGTCAGCGCCTCACCTGGGGAACAAGCGGGAAACCGAGGCCAAACTTCCAGAGGCCGTACGCCTTCTTCTCCACCCAGGGCTCGTACTTGCCGTAGTATGCCTTGGCAGCCTCAAATGGCCCGTGCTCCTGAACGTCAGTTACGACCTGCTTTCCGGCCCCCACAGTATCAAGAGCGGTGTCCCTGGCCTTGCCGACCAGACCGAGGGCGTAGTTGGCGGACTTCTTCCAGTAGCCGTGGTAGCTGTCCACAGTTTTCAGGGTTTGGTCAACCTAGTAAAGATCACCACGGTATGCTTCAGTAATTGACCAGATAATGTTATTTGATCTGTCTGAGGAATGTGTACCAGGTGACTAACCGAAAACGGATTAACGGCCGGTTTCTGAAGAAATATGATAGGAGATGACTAAGCTGATCTTTTCTGAATGCTGAATAGCAATGAAAGCAAGTGCAATTATGAACCCTGAAACTTGGCATGCAAAGCTGTAAGTTGGATTTAAGCACGACTTTGATGGCCTGATAGAGAGGTTTGCAAACTCATCATTTAAAAAAATTGTCTCCTCTAGCTTGGACCAGACCGAGCATCAAGATCTACAGAGCTTATTACGGATATTGAATGACAAGAAAGATCCTTAGCCCAATTCCAAGAAAAACAATATGAAGATCAATTACAACCGGTTTAACTCTGTTGAACAACTCAGGCTCGACAACAGCTTGGCATTCATGGATGAATCTACATCAATAACACAACCACGAGTTGGGACATAAGAACAGAACTTCAAGCAGAAGCATCCATCAGATGCGCCGTTGCCGTAGATCTGATAAGGGCTGCAAATCTGGTCGCCTATCTATGAGCTCTAAGTCCTTTCTAGATTCAATGTGGAAGCTGGGCCCGTCTTCACACAAAAGTAGAGCACAAGAGAGACGCATGCTTGTCTGTTGGATACGAGCACAAACTGACCGTGCGCGAGGAAATTGCAGGATATTTTTGGAAGACTACTCCCTCACCTTCTTGTCAGCAAACACCAGGAGCTTCTGGGGCTTGTCCTCTGTGGCCTCATAGACTGGTTTGAGATACTTCCACGCGGTTGACTCTACTGACTCAAAGTAGGGCTGCGCCTGAGGAACAGCGCTCTTGCCATGCTTGTAGAGGGACTGGAAGTATGCCGCCAGCTTGATGGCATACAACCGGAAGAACCCCAGGTACTTCAACTCGGGCCCAGTCTCCTGAAACAAACCCAGGAGCAAGGAGCGTCAGTAGCGCATATCATGCTGCAGAAGCAACTGCCTCAACTTGTTGAACTAACCAATTTAGATACGATCAGAATCCCTGCCTCGATCACTGACAAGAACACCTGCTCCTTCGGGTTTTGGGGAAAGTTACAATTCAGAGACCACAACTCCGATCTTGGTGTGCTTCTCTTTGGAAAACTCTATTGCAGTTCCCACACTTGGCTGTACGCCTTGTTTGGACTATTGTTCTCTCCATGCATCCTGAGCTCTAATTACCCTCGGATAGTATACATTTTCAAACTTCTACAAGAACCTAGAAAATCAACGTCCGTCCGTCTTGGCGTCTGTCTTGGCAGACCACGAAGTATAAGTCCTTCATGCATGCAAGGTAGCCCAACCTGTAGCAAGCAACTGTAAATTCGTAATTACACACCACTGGCTCCCTTGCAAGCAAACTTTTGGTGAACTCTGGCAAGCATCGTCCGACAACAAAGTGAGGTGTTGCCAACTTCAAAAGCAGCTGTGATTCCTTTCAGGCTCTCAAACCAGAACAAAGTCTTGAGATTCTTACCTTTACAGGAACAGGGGGGGCTCCCGACGATGACTGCGCCTCAGACGACATCTTCACAAGTACACTAATCACCACTTTCTGGATTGACAAAGGCTGGCTCGCAACGTACGCCAATTGTAACTTGTAAGCCCTTTCTTGCTTCTTCGCCCTCTTGATCAGGACGCCACAGGTTTCCTTTGAAGAATCAGACGACAGTTGCTGGGTAGAATTTTCTGAGCAACTTGGCTTCCAGATCTTGGCTGACTCATCAAGTGGCGGCACCTGACATGATCAGACATGTGAAAACCTTCTGCTACACAAGGAACGGCTTCTTTCACCATGAACGAGGGCGCATTTACATCTTGCGCTTCGGGCACGCTACCCCAGCAATACGGTGCTTTCACTTTCCCGGGCTGTTCTACATTGAAAGTATGTCGTCGAAAGCAGGCTGGCAGAGGCGCTCGGAAATGACCCCCGCTGGATGCATTTCAAACCGTCGATGAGCTTAGTGGCCAATAAAAGCTGCCCAGGTGGCCAGAATGTCATGGGGCCATAAGTGCTTACTCTGCGATACCGAAACCAGTAGCATCGACCTACCATATGCGCATTGAGCGCCCTTCCGCTTATAAACCATTATCGCATGTCAACAATGAGCATTACCAGGTGCACTCAGTTTTTCGCCTCCATCTAGATCAGCGCTGTGTCAATTTGCCCGGCCGCGGCGCATCTGCCCGGCCGCGCAGCAGGGCGCCGCTGGCTGCAGCTCTCAGAGTCAATGTCATCTGTAGCCTTATAGGCGCTTATGCCAATGGGCGTTCAGAGTCAAGAGTCAGAGTCAGAGTCAGAGTCAGAGTCATGGGCGCTCAGAGTCAGAGTCAATTGGCTCACGCTACGGCCTTATAAAAGAAGCATACATTGAACAGTGAACGTGACATTGAAGGAGGCCCTGGTTCTCGCTTGACCGAGTTTGGTAGCCCATGAGTGGGTGCAATTTAGTAAAAGGGGAGGGCTGTGGATCACTGCGGTGACTTGAGGGTACATACGAATGTTTCCTCTTCAAATACGCTTGCGACCAGCTCAGCGCGGCTGCCTTGAATGTAGTAAGATGACAACTTCACAAGGAGAGGAAGAGCAGCGACGGAGGATCTTGCAATTGACTCACTGCTAGCATCACTTCAGCTGTCGCTGAGATTTCGCGGGCCACATGGCACGCACAGTGACTTACGTGCAGTTTGCCCTTGCTCTGGCGCTATTCATGTTTGCATTGGTGCAGGTCAGTCTTCCTTTTTCCTCTCCAACCTCTTCTGGCTTGTGTGTTGCACTTCGTTGTTGGTTGATTCAGGAGATCTAGATTTGGCAGGGCCTTTTCAGCGCTGCAAAAGGGCGCGTTCTCCACTTCAGTGACCGCCAATCTGAGACTTTGAGCCCCTTCAAAGGACAGCATCTTGTGAAGGTGGTATGCAAATGTAGTCCTTCTGTGTAGTTCAACTTCGGTCATGCCGCCTACTGCACAAAGTCTGCACACAGTGGCCATCTCATCTTGCACGATTAGAGCAGGCAAAAGTTTCTCTGGTTTGGATATCCTGATCTGACTGTATGCTGGACGTGAAGCAGATTATACTCTCTGCATATTGCTGTGCAGTTTGAGCTGTGGAACTTGAAGAGCAGCAATGTGGGACAGGTAAGTGTGGTCTTACTGGCTTGATTCCATAACGAGTAGAAAGTTGGGGTGAGGGGGATCCCTGATAGGGGGAATGATTGCCCCACAGTTTAGTGCAACGACTTTCCAGCGTTCACTGAACATTGAAATGTAGAACACGACTGTTGGTGCTCTAACCCTGTTACGAATTTGGGCGTGTCCAAAACGAAGTCATTGTAGGCAGCCTGCAGAGCCCCCCCTTGCGGACTCAAACAATCTGGTTACTCCCCCTCTTTTGCGGTGTGAGAGTTACTCTGAACAGCGGTGAGAGTCGAGAGACACCTTGATCTGACGCTGGCCGCTTCCACAAGCGGATTCTCTGCTTTTCAATTGTTCGCAGGCTTCTGTGGGACGGAAACTGAAGGCTCAGATACGACTTCCTGACAGCAAACTAACTCCAGAGCCTAACAAGTTGAAAGCGTTGGAAAAGGAGGCGCCAATCGCGGCGGTGGTGGTAGTAGCCTGCAACAGGCCTGACTACTTGGAGAGGACAATCCAGGGGATCTTGAAGTCAGTTCAATATTTCAAACCAAGACTAAACGTCCCTTCAGCGCTTGCAAATATCATAGCAACACTTCTCTGGAAGAGTCGTGCCCCGCCGCTCAGTTGCGAATGTTCAGTGCCCAACGTTGTCTATCTTTGGAACACTGTGAACCAAAGTACTGGTGTTTTTGAAGAGCCGCTAATGAGAAGAAGGATTGCTTTTAGGTTTTGTGATGGTTCCTTATTGAATTTAACCTGTTTGACTGGGCCTGGTTCGACTTGACCTTGGGGGACACATTGTCTCTAGTCTCGAATTCTTGGAGCGGTGCTGAAAGAAGCACTTTCTGGAGCTAGGGGACGTTCAGGAGTCTTAAAACGACAAGAACTCAGCCGAAGTCCTTCAGATAGTGTTGGAGATAATTCCTTGATTACAGAAAGTTTGCGCCTGGCAGTTTCTTTCGTGGCCGCCAGCTCAAGTTGGCAGATAGTAATGGATTAAGTGTTGCTTCCTCCTTGGACTCACTGGTCCTCATATAGGCAGGCACTTCGCTTAAGGATGTCCGAAACTTAGCTTTGCCCCTTGTGGATCCCAAGGCATTGCTGGCTCCGAACCCTGTCTTTCTGTTTAAAAAATTCAACTTATGAAGCTAGAGGAAGGTGACACTGCAACCACGTAAATGACCCTCAAAGTAACCTCGTTGCAGATTTCATACATCGAGTAGCAAGTTCCCGTTGTTCATTTCACAGGTGAGTTGTGCTTGCCCTGATGGGTTGCTGGCCCAACCGGCTTATATCTTCTCAGTTTCAAAATTCTGGCCGATTTTAGCCCATTGAATAAGCTTGAAACGCTAACTCACAAGTAGGTCCTTCTTTTAATAGTCTGCCCAGGCTTGCAATTGCGCTTACATTGAAAGTAAGTGTAGGACTTCTCGTGATACTTGTGACTTATCACCGGTACGGATCGAGGGAGTGAGTGTCCGTTACTCGGAGCCGAGCAATTTTTAGGAAAAAGGTTCATCTTCTTATCTGAGAAATCTCTGGTTCGATACTAAACGTGGACGACATATATTTTTCTTTGTCGGATGCTGGGACGGTCTTCAGGAAGCCCTGCGCATACTCCCGCCTTGTGAAAGAGCGTTGAGGTGTGGTTCATACTTTCAATATTGAAAAGACAAACATCATGAATCCCTTATACTTGACAATCTGATTTGTCCTTTTCGCTCTCAAGCATCCGCTTTCTTCCAGGATGGGACAAACGCCGAAGTCAAGGCAGTCGCGCAAAAATACGCACACTTTGAGCATTTTCAGGTGAGCTGACTATCAGAAATTCGACGCATTTCCTACACTCGTAAACCACTCATGGCTGCTCACTCACCTCCCTGTTGCGATCTCAACAAGCTTTACTTAGGTCCCTGGGGACCGCTTTCAGGCTACTCTAACCGTCGATCTGCATCCATCCTCTTTGTCGGAGGCCTGTAACCCTCCCGAATTGTGTATCCTTTAGCCGTTTTAGGCATAGGCTTCGTTCTTCCGGTCGTCAGAAGCGCCCGGTTGAAGTGACTGGTGTAGATTCAAGGTCTGAGCTTTGCAGCATCTAGTGATCTGGCGCGGACTTCGGTCTTCAAGCGAACTCCAAAGCGCAGCGTACACGGCAATCCATCACGAAGTCCGTGCAATCTGCAACTCAAACGCGCCCCGATCAAGCGTCTGATGCTCATCGAGCCGTCTGTCGTTGCAGCATATAGAGTCACAACCGCCGCAGATGGAGGCGGGACACCCGCAGTCCTGGCTCTCGTACTACAGAATAGCAGGTGAGCGGGTTTTCCAAACCAGCTTCGGAGCGGCAGCATCGGCTCGCCGTCGCGAGTTACCGAAAGGAGCCTAGTACAGGGGGATCACTTAAGTTCACGATGGCCAAAATGTTGCGCAGCACTCTGATAATATCATCACAGCCTCAGTCTGCAATATGTGGCCATGAGCAGCTCAATCGCATCCAGACACGTCTCCGCAAATGGTCTGGCCAAACACGACAAAACCCTTGACTAACAATAATTTTGGAGCGTTGTTTCTGATATTTGAAGATAGACGGTAGTAACACGAGTTCGAGCTGTCCCCAGCCATTCCAATTCTGTGCTCTGCCTGTGACAAAATTGAGAGCCGACCGAATAGCAGGCCTTCGTAATTTTTTGACCTTAGAAGATGCTGGCAGCAATCGAGCTGGCATGCTCTTACATGAATCTCTTCAAGTTCTGAAAGAAGTGGCGGCAAACGCATTCTGTTCAGCAGAGCAGCGCATGATGTTGGCAATTGCATCTCGTGTGAAGATTACGAGGACCTCGAAAGGCCGGCCGAAGGTCATTTTTTCGACGCCTCTCACGCCTTGTTTTGCTACTACATCCACGGCCGATTGGCCGGTTGCTGTTTTGCCCGGGAGAGTCGGACTTGGCGGCTGAACATTCATCGGTGCCGCGTAGTCTGATAGAGAGCTGAGGGCCCATGAGAAACGGGTTTCGTTCCTGTAGATCGAACATGCACATTCGAACAACATTCGCATTCCAATAAGCTCAAAGTTGTGCTCCGTTGCGCAGACCACTACAAGTACGTGTTTACGAGGATCTTCGAGGAGCGCAAGTTCCAGCGAATCATCATCCTCGAAGGTACGGCTTTCCTCAGCCTTTTCGTTATGACGGACTCGTTCGCCCTTGATTGGCCGCTCGAAAACGGTCTGCGTTTCTTGGGCGATCTGCTTCGACCCTTGGGCATAAGCTCGGAGCTTCCTTGATCGATTCGAGGCTTTTAAGAAGTTATACCTGACACTTCATGGACTTTTATGGCCATGCTCGATAGTCTGTCCTCAACCTCTGGGGTTTCCCGCGCTCGACCGACAGGGTTGGTAAGTATGTATACTACTGGGCTCGTAAAGTTCTCGAGCCACTTCGTGCGGGCATGGTTCACGAATTGGTGCCAACAGCTCGACTGCCTCTTCTGTTATGTGTACGATATTTGTGACCAGATTCGAATGCTTTTGCTGCAGATGATATGGAGGTCGCGGTCGACTTTTTCGACTACTTTGAGGCGTTGGCGCCAATTCTGGACAGGGACGAATCGCTCTACGCGGTCTCGTCGTGGAACGACAACGGGCAAAAACAGTTCGTACATGACCCAGGTAAGCGAACGTGTCGACTTGTCTTTAGACACCATCTTGCATGTTGAGAGTTCGCGTGACTCTTCGACCCTTTCCGCGGGGATGGCTGGTCTATGATCGAGTCTTTGTGGGAAGTCAGTAATGTGTCGAACTGAACTCGCTCTTCCACAGAGGACGGAAACGCATCGTGGGACCCATCGAGACCTTGTTGGGATAAGGACAGACTCTGGTAAATCGCATGTCACTCAAGAGGCGTGTGTTTTATGCTAGGCGCCTGGGAGACGGGTGGGGTTACTAGGGTGGTTAAGGTGGGTTCGGAAGCGGTTGGTAGGGTGGTTAGGGTGTTTCGGGGGCTGGAGCACGTAGATCTGGGGTTTATGTTTTTGGTTTATGTACCCCAGGAACTCGACTTTCAAGTCATGCGCCCGTTACGTCACATAAGACAACTTACAGTGGTCTGAAACGCTCCTAAAGCAGGTTTGCTAGGAAGGAAAAAGCAGGGAGGTCTTGAAAACTGCAATTACTGGCTGGAGTAAAAGGTGACATGAAACCCTGTCATGAGCAGCTAAAAAGAGGGGGTTCAAACGGCTGGCATGTGGATCTCGTACGGACGAAACTTCAGTCCCTTGTTATCCTCCACTTTCTCTCCCCATCTTCCTTACGCCTACTTAACCACTACCAACCCCAATCCTTTTACAGAGGCCGTCTACCGGTCGGACTTCTTCCCCGGGTTGGGCTGGATGATGCCCCGGCGCATGTGGGCGGAGCTGGGCCCCAAGTGGCCCAAGGCGTTCTGGGACGACTGGATGCGCCTCAAGGACGTCCGAAACGGACGGCAGACCATCTTCCCCGAGATCTGCCGCAACTACAACTTCGGGGAGCACGTGAGTGGGCTCTTCTTGTTTTAAACAGCTTGGAAAAAATAACACTTAGACAAAACAAAAAAGCAATCAAAAATAGAAGCCTAGAACGTGTAGAGCGGGCGGCAGACCATCTTTTTCGGAGATCTGCCGCAACTACAAATCTGGGGAGCACGTGAGTAGCCTTTCTTGGATTGAGTACCTAGGTCTTGAGGATTCCAAGAAACAGAAAGCCCAGGACGTCCGAAATGGACGGCATCTTCCCAGAGGTCTGCCGCAACTACAACCTCGGGGAGCACGTGAGTGAGCTGTCCGAGGCTCACACCTCAAGAAAGCTTCGACTATTCTCGAAAAGGTAATATCAGAGGCTCTCCGAAGCAGACCATCATCCTGGGTATCACCGGAACACTGACGTTCACAAATCCGCAGAATTACGTCAGCCCGGTTCCCTCGAATCCGGGTGGTGCACTCTCAACCTTACCAGCACCTGAATGGCCGTGGCCGCTTCTCCAACCCCAAATACCAATAGAAGGTCGGAAACTTCATGCATTTTACGTCAAGCCATAGGGCGGCACCGCGCGGCAGACTACCTTCCCCTGAATCGTGCCGTGAGAAGCACCTCGGAAGAGCACATGCGGTAGTCTTCCCGCTGCCTTTTTGACACATAGCGCGTCTAAGAATCTGTTTCTTAAAAGCTCGCCTCAGAAGAGCCAGAATACAATGGTGCCACCCCAGAGGAAAGACTGCTTCACATGGTAGTGTGGTCTGAGGATTTCGGGTTGGCCGAAAGTAGGACGTTGGACGGATCGAACCGGGAGAAGACTAGGGCTGGAGAAGCTGTTGATATGAATCACCAAAAGATACTCCTCGACAGTGCATCTCAGCACCGAAGCCAAGCTCAAGTTCGAAGAGGCTACTTGACCCGCACGATGTGTGCCCTGCGACCATTGGACGGTCCAGGATCAGGAATCGCGGTCGAGACATGATAAGCTGGTGTGAATTCTGACGTGAAGAGCTGTGCGACCGGATCACAGAACTCTGATGCTCTCGTTTGCCAATTTGCAGGGCTCCAGTTTAGGGCAGTATTTCGAGCAGTACCTTCGTCCCATCCGGTTAAACACGGAGCCCGTGGACTGGAGCCAGAAAGACCTCACATATCTAGAACGGGTAAGGCTAGCATCTCCGGATTCACCTCCTTGTCTTTGTGAGGCTCCATTTCGGCAATCGAGAAGGAGATTCGCTCACGCAAGGAGTTGCCGGTAAAGGACGGCCACACTGAGCTGGCAGTCCGCAGGTTTTCAAGTTGAAGCTCGCTGCCGCTACCTGGGTCCTATACCGAAGCTATGGCTGTTTCCGCTTACAAAAGTCCGGACGGGACAGTCAGACGTGTTCACGACGCCTCAATCTCGGTGGCTTACTAAAACGCAGTATGAGACCCCCCTAAGTCCTTGGTAACCCACGCGGCCCTAACTTCATAGAGCAGTGCACGATGCCGACTGTTTGCTGAAGCTAAATACACCGTCAAGCGCCCTAGCAGGACGCCTTTTGAGCTCAATAAGCTTTATTATCCCGCTGCTCTTTGGAAGCTCGTTCACCTCTGCCCAAAACGATCCTGAGAAAGCCAGCACTGCTTGTTCCTGTGTTCTAACATTGGCTCGGGCCACTCGGTGTTCTTGAGACTCGCCAGCTAGCTCTCAGTTTTTAGTGCACATATGCGCGAACTTCTGTTCCGACTAAGATACCTTCGAAGCAGGGCTCCAAATGATCTCCCTTTTTTGTTTACTGCTGCAGACAGTCTTACACGCGAAGCCTCTCAGGCAGTAGAGCAAAGATATCATCCGTTAAAAAGCATCTTTCATTATCGAGAATACCGTCTCCGTATATGTCCACCTTCAAGCCTTCGTCAGCGGCTTTGAGAAATACTGTCGCCCTTTCACCCCGTTCTGCAGGATGTGCATGCAGCCTTCCCCGGCGGCTGACGTCAGCAGCCATTGACGTCCAGTTATTTTCAGCAGCCGTTCAATAAATGTACCTCCCCGTAATCATGCTTATGCGCGAGCAGCTCACATTTGAGCAGCCTCCAGAAAATCCTAATTTGTCACCAATCCTGGAAGTTGCTCCTCCCTTTGCAGGACCGGTATCCCGCATTCTTCGAGCGGCTGACGTCAGCGGCCACCGTCATCCCGGCGGATCGGGCGGGGGCGGCGGCCGCAGCGGAAGCGGGGGACGTGTTGGTCGAGTACGACGGGGAGAGCGAGCCGGCGTTCAAAGACGTGGCGCGGCACTTTGGGATATTCGAGGACTGGAAGGCGAGTCGATATTCATCCTAAAGGTCCCCCATTTCTTGAGATTCTCTTTACAAAACTTGATTCGCAAAAAGAGCAAACAAATCGTTCTGGTGAGGAGCGGACTTGTTCTGGCGAAGGCATCGGAAGGGAGGGCGAGCCACGTTTAAAGACGGGCGCGGCAGTGTGGGACTTTCGAAGACTGGAAGGCAAGTCGACCATCATTCCTAGAATCCACCCTTTTCTTGAGGCTCTCTTTAGATCACGTGGTTGCAAAAAGTACGAAATCCTGCAACGGGTCTCGTGGATAGCGAACCTTATTGGTGGAAATTTTAACGGGAGGGCGAGCCGGCGTTCAAAGACGTGGCGCGGCGATCTTCAAGGACTGGAAGGCGAGTCGATGTTTTTTTCAAGTATCCGACTTTTCTTGAGACTCCTTTCAAATCCACAAGTACAAAGCAAATCGATGGTTCTGGTGAGGAGCGGACCATCCTGGTGAAGGTTTTTCAGGGAGACGAGCCGGCGTCAAAAGATGTGGCACGCAACTTGGAATCATCGAAGAGTGGAAGGCGAGTCGGAATTCATCCAAAAAGTCCATCTTTTCTTGAGGCTCTCTTTAAATTTGTGGTTGCAAAGGGGACGAGAGATGCCAACGGTGAAGAGGTGACTGCTCTGGTGAAAGGGCGAGTTGACTTTGAAGGCTGGAAGGCGGGTTGACCGTTTCTTTTCATCCATCTTTTGAAACCTTGTTTAATCCAAATGAGTCTCCCTTTGCACCTCATGATTGCAAGAGTACGAAGCAAACGAGTGGGTTGAAGGCCGTTCTGGCGATGATCGTAAAAGAAAATCGAGACGTTTTTACAAGCCGTTAGATGGGGCTTTTCATGGGCTTCTAGAGCGGCCTTTACTGGGCCTTTAGAAGAACCTTTAAGTGAGCCTTTCGAGACCGGAACGCGGGGTCACCCTGGACCGTCCAAAATAGAATCGAAACCAACAGAGGCTGTGCGAATCCGGAAAAATGCCGATAATACTCTTTTGGGCAGGACCCTGTTCAGGCAAAACTCTCGCCGAGCATCTTTGTGGTAATAGGAAACGCCGATACAGCATTCAGTCACAAGATGACACGAGGAACATCAAAGTAGTTGCACGATAAAGAAGGCGCCGAGATTGAATGCGACTCTTGCAGTTCCGCCGTGTCTTCATTCGGTGCTTGTTACCGCAACCTTTTGTGCCTAGGTAGTTGCGGCTTCCGACTGTTTTCAACCAGCGGAAGCTACCGCTAGGTATGTATGCCCACAACTAATACTGCCCAGAATTGTGTGCGCTGGATGCAGGATGGAGTTCCCCGGACGGCTTTCCAAGGAGCCGTGACGTTTCGACTTGGTGGGCCAAGAAGGGTCATCATCGCTCCGAGGAAAAGCAGCTAGCGGGTTCATCCTAAAATGTCTCTCTTTGGCGCTTATTTTGATGCCCTAACAGACTGGATCTCAAAAAAATCCCAGCGAGTCCCTGACCTGAAATTTTCATGATGCTGCCCCAATCATTCCATTGCGCGTGTCAATCAAACTGACTGAGACCCATGGAAATTTGCATGCGAAGATTCGCTTGATGGTCGTCTCTCGATGTCATGATACCTAACCCTGGCAATGCATGTAAAGAGCCGTGCCTTGATGCCCGGACGCCTTTCGAGGAACAAGGTAAGTTAAGTCTCCAGTATCACTGGAGCCAATTATATTCCCAAAGATCATAGATGCTGCGCAATCGTCAGATCATATGGCGCACTGGGTTTCAATCGACGTACCATGCAAGCATGGCTCAACGGCCAGCCAGGTATTCGACTTGTGCTCCCCAGCAAGGATGATACAGTGCCGTGAAGACTGATCGATCTTGAATCCGGAGTCGACGCGAGCTTCCATCCCACAGCTCGGATGCATGTTTGACTGCACGAGCTCAGCTAACCAATGCTGATTGCCGCGCCAATTTTGAAACCGTGGGCGTACTCTGGCGCAGCTAGTAGCTAGCTTTCAAACAAATGCCGCGTCGCTCAACTAACGTGGATCTCCACTGAGGCTCGTAGTAGAATGCATGACTCATTTTTGGCAGGGAGCTATCGCCATACACCGGTCCCTCGACCGTCAAGCTCACTTTCACCATCCTATTATCGCTACAATCAAGCATGGGCAGGATCAATTCCTGCAACGATCATTCCTGCAACAGCATATGATTCAAGACTTACGTTAATATGCATGTACACATTTCGTCCTATCCTGCCTGTCAGATTCATCTTCCTGCTGCCTGATTGTCAGCATTCCCTCCACAATAACGTAACGGTCGGGTTCCTTACGTAGTATAGAGGTCTATCAGTATTGGGCCTGCGAATTTCTAGCTGCCCCTTCTCGAGTCCGAACAAGTCAATCTTCTTCAGTCTGGACATCAAGACATGATCTCTAACAGAAACTAAGTCAAGGACAGCCTACAGGACAATCCCTGACTACGTCGATCTCTCGATCCTCCTTTGAGCTACAGTAGGTAGGATAACTCCTAGATACGGTAGCATAAGAGCGATCCCCAGGGTAAATCAACACTAGAAACCTTATCCAGTAACTTACATGCTTTAAACCCCTACCCACCCTAACCTCCCACCCTAACCCCACCCGTTCCTTGGGCCCTGACCTTATCCTACCTAGCTGTAACCTAACCTGAGCTAGTACTTATGGTTTTTTGCCAAGGGTCGGAGGCGTTACAAAGATGCCGGTCGCCGAGCTCACAAAGTTGCCCACCAGGCTCAGCAGTGCGCCGGCCAGCACAATCGCGGCCCGGTCCTTCTCCGCCGCATAACCCGCCACTAACCCGAGCGCTGACCCAGCCATACCCACGATCGTGAGAAAGGCGGTCACGATCAGAACCTTGTGGGTGGCAACCTGATCCCAGAACGGTGGTTTGTTGGCGCCAATGACGCTGTCTATACGCGCCCTCGCTGCCTGCAGCCGGATTACTGCTTCCTTATTTGTCTTGTTGTTGGACGTGATTGTTGTAACATCGGCTGCAGCTGCTTCGAGGTCCTTCTCTGTGAACGGGCCTTTCTCGTCTACACCTGGCGCGGCCATGCCTGAGACGAGCCTGCGTGTCGCGAATCCTGCAGAAATAGCAAGAGTCCGGTTTTCGATTCTCAGATCATTCGGACAAAACCAAAATTATGTTCCTTGAAGAAGAGCAGCCTCTGGCTTTGGCATCCATTCGTCTTGGCATTCAAGGCAGGCCTCAGGCTGAGACTTGACAGTGAAGACAGAGAGAACTTAGGACAGAAACCTGAGGGTTTTAATAATGAAAGCCACACAAACAGCTGAGCTGCCACGCTACAATTCCTGTCAGTCCAGCATGTTGACCAAGTTGCTTAGGCCAGTTAGTGAGCTCAGGGCTGTGAAAGGTCTTGCTGCTGCCAGTTCTTTTAAGTCTTGGTAGGCTTGCAATTGGCTGTGTAGGAGCCAGCAAGGGGGGCAATCTAGCATCACAGCAAAGCATATGCTGCATGGCTCGAGGCGCAGGTGATGTCAGCCTCACGGAGAAGTGGGCACCGGGCAGGAAAGTTCTTTGGTCGGGAATTGTGCTTGTCCTGTTTAGAGACGACAGCCTCTCTTGCTTCTTGCTCCTTCCATCTAAATCTGTTTGCCAGCTTTGTGACCATGCAAGCACCCACTTCTTAGGCAGCTTGTAGATCATTATGCATCTATGCTCATCAAGGATTTCCAGCGCGCCACATCAAGCTTTCTGTTTTGTGCACCTCTAGACCAGTTGTAAAACACGTGTCTTACTTCAAAAGTATTAAAGACTGAGATGCTATCACCAGAATCCATTAAACCCACTGCCTTCAAGAAGCCTACTTATTGCCCGCTACCAAATCTCAATATGACAGCAAGCCCTGCCGTTTGTGTCTCCAGGTTTGCTCAACAAGCTGAGTGACCAGACCTTGAAAAGACCTTTCAGAAGAGAGAAAAAAAGAGACCTCTTGATGCCGAAATTGCTCGTTTGTTGCAGGGACAGAAGCTCCTTGGCTCTGAACAACGAGCAGAGGCTTAACTTCTTGCAAGATTCCAAGCACTGCAGCTGGGTCTGCTAAAGGAGGGTAACAAAAGGGCTTATTATCTTGAGCACCTCTTGCAGCCAAGGGTCTTTGTAGGCCTATGCTGAGTTGGCACATCCATCACATTTTGTGACTGTCCCTCTAGTGTCTCGTGGGCGCTGAAGAATGGTTGAAAGAGGCGGTGAGAACAGTAAGAATCCCTGCAAAGAGAAGTTCTTGAAAGAAAGAAATTGGCTTTGGGTCTAGATTCTCACCTTGCAATGCTCACGAGCTAGCTTGTCCACGCCACGCCACTTGATTCACGCCGGGGAACTCGTGAAACGCTCTTTCACGGCCTACTATATAACCAATGGGTTTTCTTGAGGAGCCCCTAATCAGGCCTTTCCAAACCTGCGCTGCCGGCTTGGAAGCGAGCTGGGACTGGATAGAGGAAGATGGACACCTCAATGTTGGGGGTCAGAAGTGGATGAGCGTCGGACTTGCAGCTGAGATTTGAGAAAGTGGCGTGCTTCTCTGCAGATTTGAATGCGAGAAAGTTCAGGCCGGTGTTTTCTTGAAAGGGTGAGACTTTGGACTAGGTCGGTACAGCCAGCTTTGCTGGAGAAGGGAAGCCTTTGAATGGGAGCATTTGTCGATCCAGCGTAAGTGCACCTTGAAGTGGTCCGAAGCTAGGGCCATGAAACAGGTATAATGCACGCTGGAAGCTCCCTCGCATAGGTACAATGACAAATGCGGAACTTGGAAGGAGCGCCGATCTTGCAAGATGCGGCCCGCGAGGTTTTCGTAACAAGCCTGCAGCAGGTGTTATACCGCATTTAATGCTCGCAGTGTGTGTACAGCACTCCCCCTACCGTGGTGAAGGTGCATTATGCACCATAAATAGTGGCAACTTCGGGGCGCTCTCGGCCGCCGGGATCTTCAGAGTCCGGCCGTACTAACGTGACGCTCGTGGCTGGCACCACTGGCTGCAGGATACATGTAAACTCATCGGACGGCTCTTAACAAAAAGCGGACTTCTGTTGCAGTAAACATTAGGACCATCCTACCGTCGATGCGAAAGCAACCGACAGATGCGAATGCTGGTTAAGGGACAAACTAGATATGGCGAACGCCCACGAATACCTCATGACCTTTGAAAATTGATGTAATAGTTTAATATTAAGGTCGAACTTCCCTTCGGTCCGGTCCGCGCGGGCGCGCTA